CACACACACACACACACACACACACACACACACACACAACCACGCTCAGAACCTATTTACTCCTCCATTGACAGGCACACCATCAGACGTAACTAACTACCACAGACTGTTAAAAAAAGGAACCTAAGCGCAAAATTGGCAAACGGAGACAAGTCTGGAAGCAACCGCGCGCGCACGCACATGCGTTGTCCAGGTGTTAGTTCTTACTTACAACAACCAGGATGGAATACCGACGAAAGGAACAGAATCGGGCCGCAACGAGTTCAGACGAGTATCGCGCGCACACCCGTGAGTGGCTCTCTGGGCTCAGCGCGCAGCTAACGTCAACAATTGTGAGGAAAACCGTTGATTGCTGGAAGAGGACCTTAAGAGTGGACAACGATTTTCCAATGCTGCCTGATGGCGACACGAGTCAGGAAAGCAGATACGGACATAAATAACAGCCCGTGCGAAGCACGTCGGGCGCTTGAATGCGGGACTGATTAACGTCCATGTGCGCATGAGCAGGTTCTGACTCCATCAGGACTCGTATTCATCATCAATCAACAGGTTCCAGTATCCAAGGAGGGTGGACATGTATGTATGTGATTATATCTTGACTGCATATCGCTTATAGCCTGTCATAAGCACCACCTGAGATATAGAACAGCGCTACGGCAGGTAGGTAGGGAAATAGGTGGGTAGTTTCGTCGTCTACCCCTCTCACGATGCTCTTCTCTCCCTCTACTCAGTTCCCTCTATCCTGTTACAAGCACGTACCAACCCCAGCCCCCCCCCCCCCTCTCTCTCTCTCTCTCTCTGTGTGTGTGTGGCGGGTGCGTGTGATGCGACGACAGCTGACGACCTGGGTAGCCAAGGCGCACGGTGCAGTTATGTTTACCTCGTCCCACTCCTCCTCCTCCTCCTCCACAGAACAGCAACAAGAGTCCTCGCTAGCTCGATCCCACTCGCTCTCGCTCGCGGTTGCGCTCGTTCACTAGGTAGTAACAACCCGTAGCGGGCTTGTTTACCATCCCAGGCGCAAGCAGACAAGCCGTTCACTCCCCTGAAGAACCGCGCTGCTGCCGCGTTGCCTGCCTCCAGCCGAACGCGCAGGGTGGAGAGGTGGGGGACAGAGGTTGGTAGGGCGGCAGGGGGGCGTGCGCCGCAACGAGCAGGAGCCCCCTCCCCCCCCCACCTCCTCCCAACCTTGGGACCATCCCTGTCGTCATCTCACCACACAGCGTGCGTGCAACCCGGAATGCCGTTAGCGTCACTCCCCACCTCCCACCGCGGAGCGACCCGTTAGACCACCTGCATTTTTTTATCAATTTTTTTTATTATTTTAACAACAAAACGTTACACTTCTTTTTCAAAGATGGCGAAGCAAAGACGGACGCTTGAGGTCGTCCAAGCTTTTCTCCCCTTTTTCTTTTTTTTTCCCTTTGGTTTTTCTGTTTCTTTTGTCTTTTGTCTTTTCTTTCGATCGCAGTCCAACCTCCAACCACCTGCATCGAGGCCGTCTCGGCGCGCAGCTCGATGGCAGGCCAGCAGGGGAATAGGGGCCTCGCCGCACTACTCGCCGTCCGCCAACATTTTGATTGCATCTGGACACGATTTTGTCCAGATGCATTCGAAATCTTGGCGGCGGGGCCGAGTAGTGCAACCAGGGCCTACCGGTTGTTGTTCATCTGCAGGTCGGGGGCTCGAAACCGTTCCCCCAACAGACAGACAACGGCATGGACGGCGCGTGATATCCAGTCCAGGTGCGGAAGCCACTCCCATCGCGGAACGCGGAAGAGGACCCGGCGGACCGCCTTCCGCCGGCGTTGGCGGCCGGCGAGGTAAACCTCATCGGGATCCCGTGCATCCGGCCGTCGATCCTTGTAATTGACGGCCGCCGGAACTGGAGATCCGTTATCATTTGAACCCCCGACTGGAACAAGTCCTTTTGTCTTAACGTATCCATCTGGTTACGGAGGGGTCCAAGAGGGATTCGAAATCATGACCTGTGTATTGTTAACAATTGCATGTACAAACAACAAAAAAAAAAAACAATTGCATGTACAGCATACTACCGTCTTCCCCCAACATAACGCGCCCTATAAACGAATGTATATTTCCGGCCAGATACGGTCATAATCAGGGTGCGTTGTGTTCGGGGGAAGATGGTAGCCGCATGTGCCAAAAACGGAGGAAAGTGACAACTTCTGAAAAAAAAAAAAAAAAAACGGAGGAAAAGACATTCAAGCCCAATGGGACTTGGCTCCGGGGTAAGGTCCCACTACCGGTGGCAAAGAGACTTTCGCTACAGGCGAGACCTGCGTCTGGACTTGTTTCCAGGTACGTGCAGAAGATCGCAATTGATCTGCTTGCCCGCATCTCTTCCGAAAACAGATCCAGATTCAGAAGCTTAATCCAATCATTTTTGCCAGTGCGGCTGCGCCACGCGTACGTAATTAATACGGAGCTCAACGCACCAGTAGTAGAAATAGAAAAAGATTACACTCTCCGTTTCGCACATTTGGTGTGGTGAGTAGTCCGGGAACGCCCTACCCTAACAGCATACTGGGATTTTGTCGACAAAGCTCTGGTCGTGATTGCCGCACCATTCATTCCGGTTGGGCGTATTCCCAGTCAGATACTTTTCCGAAATTGTACTGTGAGTATGGCCTAAAAAAGTTGGACGTCTCCACCGAAAGTCAGGATCGACCGAGACATGAGCGCGCAGCGCCGCGCTGTGACGGCGCACCAGCTTTTCTTTTTTTTCTTTTTTTCTTTTTTTTTTTGCACCAGCTTTTCTTCCTCCTCAGCTTTCAGGCGACCGAGGGCGGGGCTCTTCTTTCCCGACCGTCGATCTTCGCACGTATCTACGGTTACGGAAGAAGAACCCAGTGCCCAAGGCAAATACAGAAAGTCACAGCAGGGGAGGCAAGCCTCGGCGCGCAACCTCGGGCCGAGCCACTCCCCTGTCTAAACCGAGATCACCCTCACCTCCCGTCAAACCAGTCAAGGGCTGAGGTCCCATTGTCAAACCAGTCAAGGGGTGAGGTCCCATTGACTTAACGTGTGGGCACGAGTGCGCAGCCCGTAGTTTGTTTATTGATGTGGTTGGGGAAGGGGAAGGTAGTGATTATGCTGTGTGTATGTTTTGTCATGTTCACTATACACAACTCGAAGAACGTGGGGGAGGGGGAGTCCCGGTTGGTGCTTTATTCACATGTGTGTGGGGTCCCGGTTGGTGCTTTATTCATGATGTTCATGGGACGCTGGACCCATTTTCCAACAGGTGGCGCTCCCCATCAATAGACAGGAAAATGTGTGTGCGTGTGTATGTGAGAGAGAGTGAGTGTGTGTGTGTGTGTGTGTGTGTGTGTGTGTGTGTGTGTGTTGATGTGTGTGCAAAGACACATGGCGAACATCTTCGGCACAGATACTGTGCCCCGTACCGACACCATACTTCAGGAGGAAACACGCATCCGAGTGAGTCAAGTCAAAAGACAACCCTTAAAGTAGCATTGCAAGTCCACTACGCATACGGAAGACAGGCAAACATACAATCCCAAGCCTGAAAGGTCGAGGGCACACAAGACACAACCAGTAAGGCATAGAACGACAAGCCGCAAAAAGGGACACAGGATGGAGGGCACGGGGGAGGCAGGTGGGAAGACAAACGACACAAGGCCAGCCAATTAAACCGCCAGTACCTCGACCAGCTATCGGCCGCGGGCCTTCCCGTATACGCGCCGCAGCTCATGTGGGGTTGGCCACGGGAAGGCCCGGTCGTTGCTAGGACGCCAGGCCCCTCTTCTTTCGGGACACACTGTACATTTTCTCAAAAACAAGAAAAAAAAAGAAGGAAAAAAAAAAAGGAAAAAAAAAAAGAAAACAACGTGAACGCGCCGCAGCTTCCCGTTGAGAGAGAGAGAGAGAGAGAGAGAGAGAGAGAGAGAGAGAGAGAGAGAGAGA